AAATTTAAAGATCTTCTTGATAAAAAAGAAGTATCAGTGGAATGTATCTCAGAGGTAGCAATTTCTTGATCAGATTTTTAAATATTGGTTCGTAATCGAGAATAGATATAGGTGTCTATAGGTTACAGATTTCTCTTACCTTTAGAAAGATTCTGCTCTTCTCCCTCATTTGTCTTTCTTTTTATAGGGGAGTGGGTATACGAGCATGCGGCTCACCTGATAGTGACTATCACCGACCATGAATAACTGTATCACCATGGGAATTGCAGATGCGTTGCCGGCCTTTTAAAAAGGAGTGGGCTCTTTTCTTGCAGGTCCCTAAGTCGTATCAGTTCGGAAAAATCGCTGGAAATCGATTCCACAAAGAAGTTGTGCGTGAAAGAAAACATCTTCTAAATCGCACAGTGGTGGACCGCCAATCATCCGGATGGTATGCATGGTATCGCGAGTTTTGTCGCGATGTAGGATTGTGAAACTGAGCGGTTGGAATAAGTCCGAATAATTCCTCAGGGCACTCCCTGTGGTAGATATGATAAAATACGCAATGAGATGCAACATCTCTTCACAGCGCCAGTGAATCGAGCCGATCGGTAAGGAAGAAGGAGCTGCCACTGGGGAACCCTAGCACAGAGATGGAAACAGTATTCCACGTGAGGCCGAACCTGCGCCTTGAAAAGCTGCAGGCGGTGTGCTGGCATGAAATACTGTCCCGCTCTGCTGAGCGCGCCAAGCTTTTTTGATACCAATTTGACCTACTCTTCCAAGTGACCACGAAACTGCGCACCACTCAATATGTCGACGCCGAGGATTCCGATACTGGCTGAGGCAACAAGGGGAGTGCCATGAAACTGAGGCGATACCATAAAAGGGTTCCTTTTAGCGGTAAACGCGCAAACTTGTGTCTTCTGAGGATTAAAATCCGAGACTTTATTCAGCAAAGACTCGACTTCAGACACAAATTTATTCCGGTACTCGGTGACGTTTTCCCGAGAACTATTGGCACGGCCGGTGTAAAGAGCATCACCAGTGCTATCATCCGCATAGCAATGAATGTTACCGGTTTGCAACATATCATTGATATGCAGAAGAAACAGCGTTGGTGATAGCACGCAGCCTTGTGGTACACCAGCGTTAATAGGCTTGTAATCGGAGCATACACCGTCAACTACGACCTTGATGCTCCGATCAGTCAGAAAACTGGTGATCCAAGTGCACGACTTCTCGGGAAGCCTATAGGTAGGAAGCTTCGAAAGAAGCGCTTTGTGCCAGACCCGATCGAATGCCTTTGCTATTTCCAAACTAACAGCCAATGCCTCCCCCTTGGACTCGATCGCCTGCGCCCATCTATGTGTTATGTAAACAAGAATATTACCAGATGAGCGACCCCGTCGGAAATCGTACTGGCGGTCACTAATCAGCTGGTGCTCTTCAAGGTACCGCTGACAGTTAATAATGGACTCCATTATTTTCGAAAACAAGGAGGTGATGGCGATAGGTTTGTAGTTGGACGGATTAGAGGGATTACTTTTTTTAGGGATCGGGTGCACGAAAGATGTCTTCAATGAATTCGGGACAATGCCTAGGGAGTAGGAGTACCGGAAAAGACGCGTTAGAACCGGTGTTAACTCTGGAGCGCACGTCCTCAGCACAATTGGCGGAATTCCGTCAGATCCACTCAACTTGATATGTCCAGGAAGAGGACTGCTTTGCGTACTGACCTCTGTGTGAATCGCACATCAGGCATAGAGCACTCACACTGAGAGATGGTCGGCGGTGTGTTCCCCCCGTCATCGAGAGTCGAGTTGGACGCAAAGAGGGAGCGTAAAAGGTCGGTTTTCTCTTTTGCGGTGTGGGCCAGTGAATCATCCTCCCTGTACAGAGATGGTAGTGATGACTTACAGAAATTCCTTTGAACAGCCGTGGCGAGAGACCAGAAGGCACGGGTTCCCGAAGGAAGCCGAACTCATTTCTCGCCAATTCTGCCAATGTGCTTATATTTTGCCTTGGCAAATAACAAAACTCTTTTGAAGGACCTGGAGACGAAGATATACTTCTTTTTAGCATGCTGGTGCTTACATCCCGAGCGGCCGACGCCTCAGCCCAGGCCTGATTACACTCCTGCTTACTACGTAATGCAGTCTTACAGGAGCGACCAAAACCAAGGCTGAGATTTGCCTTCGATGGGTACCACAGATGATGGAATAAATAGTTCCCTGGTGACAGAGTCAGCAACAGCGCTGGGATCATCCCGCAAAAATCAAACCCGCCCCGCAAAATGGGTATGATGCAAGGAAAGACCGCATTCCGTTCCAATCCGCCGACCTGTAATGCTAAACACGGCGGCAACCTGCAAAACGCAACCGCAAGGGGAGCGTGATTGGCACCACACTCTGGATCAGACAATGATTTGAAGAGCCGAGAGGTGCATCGACGGAAACCTTATATTCGTCCGGATGAGAGAAGATCCAACAGGGAGGATGTATGATCACATCTGGAATCCGCGTAGACTAAGTAACCAGTTGTGTCAGACCATATGCCAAGGCAAAGTCATAATCAGATCTACCCGCATAATCGGTTAAACGTGAACCGAGCCATTCGGTGTGGTGGGCGTCAAAATCGCCAGGTATCACGATCTCTACGATGGGATCTATTGTAGCAAGAAATCTGTAGCCATTTAGACGTGGTCGATGAGTCAATCTATGTCGGCATTACAGCTATAGGACCTATATAGGCACCCGTAGACGCGAGAATGGTCGTCACTGTCTACGCGCAGCCAAAGGATGGACAGGTCCGTACCTTCAAGACTGCCGAGGCGTCGAGAACAGATATTCTCTCTGATGTATACACAAACTCCAGCTTGGGGCACAAACAAGTGTTCTAATTTGTACTCTGGGTAGGACAGGTACGAAGTATCAGCTGGAGAGGATACCTGCGTCTTGGTCAAATTGCTTTTTTTGACCGAGATGCAGGTATCCTCTCCGGCTGGCTTCACCGTCTCTAGATGGTAGTGGACGGCGTTAAGGTTCGAATGAAGTCCCCTGATGTTGCAGAACTCCACGGATAGCGTGGCAGGGGTCGCCATGGTTTGATCGCTCTGTTTGCCCCGTGAAGTGTTAGTATAGAGCTGGATTTGCCCAGCCCCCTTCCCCAAAATACGCGGGCAGCCTGAGCACCCACGCTCAGGAAGAAGAGGGTAGCTTGACCGTGGATGCTCAGTGAGGGATTCTCCATTACCAGGGATGCTGGTACCCTCTTAGGGTAGGCCTTTCTTTTTTAATTCCGCTACCATGTTATTGGGGTGTTCGGCCACCTGCACTAATCAAGCGAGACGCAGAAGCAAAACTTTTACTTTACGTTGGTATTCTATGAGGTCGTGGTACTGCCTCGGTTCGAGCCGGCCCATCCATGCTACAGCAGAAACTGCAGCGTGGGTCTACTACTGTTACTCTGTTGCCGTTCTTACATCTATGAAAAATATTTTAAACATAGCCCCTACCAAGACTGTAGACCTTATTCCTTACAGATATGTTAAATAGCGGAGAACTAACAAAACACTAATCGTATAATAATAATCATTTAATTAATATATGATCTATCAGTTTTATAGTACGTACTCGTAAAATTTTGTTTTAAATATGCCAATAAAGTTCATAAAAATAAATGCAAAAACAAACAACAAAAACACTGCAATTCGCCATATCCGCATTTTATAAGCCGAGAAAGACGTCATGTATACTAAAGTAGCACAAAATACTTTTACCACAAACACACACAAATAATACTAGACCTATAGTTTGAATTATTTATCACATCATTATACAAGTATCTAGTTAATTTTCAGAAGCGGTTTTTAAAACTACTGTTTTATCTCGTCGACATATATGACTATTTTATTACGATAATGAATTGAAACAAATTCTCTTACTAGGTGATTACATAACTAACATGAGGACTGTATTGGATATAATTCTAAATGCAACGGAAATTATTTTGTTAAAACAAATCTGTTTACTGAATATATGAGACCTTGCTTTGTCTAGCAATAACAATCAAATGGAGTTAAGAGTTCTGACAACAAAAGCTTAGTTAGGACAATTCATGTTCAACATATTGTTATAATATTATAGCCAGACCTTAGCCAGCTTAGACTGTCTAAATAATTATACTTACATACAGGACTAGTTTTTTTAGTATTAAAGACACACCTTAATATTTTGTAATAGATAAAATGCAAATTTTTAAAGAATGTAATTATTTATAAAGGATCAATTGCTATATAGTAAGTCAATCACTTTTTTAAATACACTAATATACGTGAGTAAATTAAAAACAATAATCCGCCTAAATAAAATAATTTAAACAAAAATTATTTCGTTTATTATTTAACATTCTTAACATCTTAGTCCTCAGAGGTGACAACGCATCTACATTTTGATCCTTCACATTCGGTCGCAGCATCCACTTACCATCAGGTGGACTATGCTCGTTTGTCACGCTTATTCTATTATACTATTTATCTTCTAAAAAGCGATTTTAGAAAATGGGGCAGCCTTATGTTCAACAGTGGATTTTCTAATGAATGCTGAATGAATGATGAAAGTACCTCAACACAGGTCCTGCATATGAACAAAATCAGTTGGATTTCCAAGTTTAAAGATCTTGAAATAAATGAAATGCCTTGACGCAAATAAAATTAGAGTAAAAGTAGAAAAATTATAATAGCACCACACAAAAGCCTATATTTCATATTATGACATGGGTCTTAACGCAGCACACCGACAACATATTTTCACATCAAACGTTATTTATTATTACTTTATATGTCATATTCTAATATTCTTTTACTTATCTTAGTTTAGAGTAATAATAGTTTACACAAACATCCACGATTTCAAAGTGCCTGTTTTAGTAACAACACCTTTGGAAAATTTGTATCAACACTTTATCGCTCAAACGAAGTGCCGCATAACAATTTCCTGTTTCTCTTTCATCGTCCTTCCTCACGGAACCGATGTTTTTACCCTATAAAAGAGACGACATTATTACATAAGTTTAAGAAAAGTAAAATAAAAGAATAATAAAACAAAGTAGCTTAACACTGCTGTGTTTCGTAAAGTGAGTGTAGAGAACCGGAGACCCTTTTTACTGAAAAAGAGGCATTCCATCTTAGTTCTCACGGGTGACAACGCATCTGCATTTTGATTCGCAAATTTGGATAAATGTAGACGTCTATGGGCCACAGCAACCACTTACCATAAGGTGGACTGTGTGCTCGTTTATCACCCTATCCTATAAAAAAATATATTCCATGTCGAGTTGTTGTTACTAATTACAATGGTAAAGATAATAATGATTTTTTTTCTTAGTTAATAGTAAAAAATATGACGGGTGTGTGTGAGGGTTGTATGGAGGCTCCATACAACCCTCACACACACCCGTCACAGGCCTCACATATGTATCTTTCGATATATTATCAAGTACCCACACAAGACGGTTTTCTTTCTCGTAACACTCTCGTGAACACGTGGTTAAATAATTGTATTAAAATCACCGGTGACGATAGGATCGAACTAGGATTATTCGTGTTATGTGAAATTTAGGACAAGCGCTCAAACTAAAAGGTACAACAATCCTAAATTCGATGATCTACTTTAATATATAAAAATAATGTAATATATAAAATTAGGTTCGACACGAATACTGTAATACACCTTATAATTTTATCTTTATAATATATTATTATATAATTTCAACGCGAATTCTATACATTGAATGAAACTAAGTGACAATGAGCGCTGCAAAGCACTCAAAAGGATTGGAACACAAAAAGAAGACAATAAATCGCGATAAAATCTGTCAAAATTAGTTTCAAGTTGTAGAAATTGCAATATTCTCAGACCGGTGTCTGTCACTACTCGTCTGGATATTTTTAAACTTACAATTTACATAAAAGTAATTCCAGCATAAATATGAAGCCATGAAATGCAAAACTTATGCACCTATAAATATCTGCTTGTTGTTAATATCAAGAATTAAAAAAATCACATAAAAGCATTCGCTAACAGAAAACTATAATATAATTACATATATAATATAATTAATTCATAATCATAATTCTGTCAACCTTTTCCATTAGAAGTAAGAATGACAAACGAACACAGTCTACCTGATAAGTGGCGAACATTTCGACCCATATAAATACAAATCAAAATTTGGATGCATTGTCACCCCTGAGAACTAAGATGGAATGCTTCAGTGCTACAATTTCACGCGGGTATACTACGCGAGCGTGGTGTTTCCCTGGTCGAGCCGACATATTCGAACTACAGCCGTAATATACAGTATCATGGTGCTATCATGCAAATAACCTACTAACATATAATAATATATAAAAAAGGGTTTACTTATCACACTTACGTATTTAAACCATCGGAATGTGAAACTGGAGGTGGAGGCCACTTGTGAATATAAGCTCGCCACATTAGTTGGCGGAATGTCATCCGAAACTGCCTTGACATGGTGCAGTATAGTATGAAGTTTATAGCTCCATTCAGCAGAGCCAATGCATCCATCAACTCTCCAAAAAGATCGTAGCATCCTTTGAAAAAGCATCGACCTAGTAGACCGCTTAAAAGTCCCAGGATTCCTTGTGGTAACTCCGTCACCAAGAACAAGAACAACACTGCTACTAGCATTTTAGTAGTTCTATTCGCTCTTTTGTCTGCTTTGTTTTGACGTTTGCCCGTCTTATTATTTGTCGGACATGAGTTATAAACTCGAATTTTCCTTTGATGTTCATTTGCGCTATAAACTTCTCGTATCAGCCACAAACTGATTACTGTTAATATACAACATGGTAGTAATTTAATGACAACTGCGTGTACCCAAAAATTTATTTGATACAACTGTCCTTCGTGGTCCGAATCAACGTGATATAAAATCATAGGCCCGCTTGGTTCCAAAACCACGGCCGTGTGGATATCAAATACCTGTAGTAATAAAATTGTATTCGTTAATATTGTCAAAGGAAAAAGTACTTAATTATATAACATCTGTCATATCTAGCTCGGTGTGCCTCTGCTTTCGGAGGCAGCTCGATAGGTTATGATATTTTAAAATTTATTGATATTAATAACAAACGGAATGTTCCGTTAATATTGCAATGAGTCCAGGGTCATATAGGCCTTAAGGGCAATGAAAAGGCTGATCGCTTATCTAAGCTAGCTGCAGTAGAGGGTGACATTATTAATTTTATACCAGATCCGACTGAATATGTCTCAAAATTCAAAAGTGTATGTTACCAAAATTGGAAAAGCTATTTTGAAGAGAAATCTAAAACGAAACGCATCTGGAAAGGCTTCGTTCTGGTTATATTCCATCAGCAAAGTTCGCTTTATTAATGGGAAAAAAACCTTCACCCAATTGTGATGTATGCAGCAAAATTGAAGATGTTTACCATTTGTTGATGGAATGTGTCAAGAATGAAAATGATAGACAGGCTGTGTTGAATGAATTTAACGTAAATGTTTTGGATGTCGATCTAGTGCAAATGGTTTTATCAAACCCCAAATCAAAGATGTCAAGAGGGTTATTCCGGCTTGCTTCTGGGACGGAATAATTATCTTCTCTTCTTCAATATAAGTTTCTTTTTACGTTAATAATTTAACTAGTACTCACAATTATACATTTTTATTTTGTTCTAGTGTTAGCAGTAATTAGTATAAGGTATGATGGGGATTGGCATGTCATTTTGACAAAAATCCCAAAAAAAAGTAAAAGAAAAAAATATCACTGATGGCAGCTTTTTCTCAATCGTCAGTAATAAAAGTAATTCTTAAAATAAAATACAACCTAAACATATTAAAAACGACGGTTTCATTAATAACTGCCATAGTAGCCACGCTTAACAGGGTTGACAAGCACAGTTTTTTTTTCTAAATTATTATTCAGTTGTGATCGGAAAAATTCTTCATCCATGGTATGATATGGGGTAATGAATAATTTTACGCCGCCACTGCACGGCGAAATAATTTTATGGCATTAGATTATTATATAATATATATAATATAATCTATATCATTAATTAATATAAATTTAAAAGTGGTAGAGCCACGCGGCAGCTTTTGCTGTCGCACGGATGGGCCGGCTCGAACCGGGGTAGTACCACGACCTCACAGAAAACCAGCGTGAAGTAGAGGTTTACCTCTGCGTTTCGCTTGATGAGTGCAGGTGGCTGGAGGCCCTTTTTACTGGAAATGAGGCATTCCATCTTAGTCCTCACGGGTTAACATCGCATCTACATTTTGATTTGTAACAGAGGATAGATGTAGATTTCTATGGGCCGCAGCAACCACTTACCATCAGGTGGACTGTGTGCTGGTGTGTCACCCTTATCCTGTAAAAAAAAATTATTAATAATTTCCTGTTAATAAATAGTATTGAAAATCAATACTAAAAAATAATCCAACTTTTAGTAAAACCTGCTGATATTATCAATTGATAATGCATTTGAATTTCTTTCTCAAACTATTATACTATATACTAAAAAAAATTCAAAGCAAAAAATATGTTTCCATAAAAATTTCAGAAGACCTTTTTGTTGTTGAAATTTATCACCTTTAACAGGATTGTCTATCAAAATAAATGTTCTCGAGCTTTAATGGCTTTGGCTTTACACAATTATATGATTTAGAAAACTCTTAAATGTGACGGGCTTAAGACAGTTTTATTTATTGCTTTTACTCAATTACTTACCAGAAAAGTAGGAACACAAAGTATTGGTGGGAGGACAAAGCTACTTAGTATGGCCGCGCTGCAACGTCTCTCCGTGCAAAGGATGTGGTTTTTATCCGAATATCTGAGAAAAAAGTAAACATTTGGTATAGTTATTACTATAAAATATTTTAATAAATCAAACCAGACTGGGGTTTTATAATAATAGAATTGTTTCACTTCCAAATCCAAAAAAGAGAGTACTACAGTATAGTTTGTACTAAGTGTATTGAAATGTACTTCATTTTCTAAGGAGACTATTATTGTATAGTATGAGTGTTTATGATCACAAATTATACACCATCGGTGCTGGAAATGATTTAAAATGCATATGTTTACGTGAGTGCGTGTCCTTACAATAACTTGAGCATAGTTTTAGCTGGATTTTTGCATCACTTGAAATTATCGTAACGATATAAAATATAATAGAATACTTAAATTTTTATAGGTGTATTATAAGACCTGCGAGACAAAAACTGGTGACGTCTTATGGTGGCAAGCATCTGCTAACGTATATGGTATTTAGTACTGCTATAACCAGTTTTGGTCCCAGGACAAATTAATATTGTGTTCAGTAAGGCCTTACTTGTGTGTGTTTTGGGAGATTATGCTCGGCGTGTGGTGTATTAGGGCATCTTAAAGGTCATGCTCTCTTATGGGTCTTTACTAGCATCCTCCGCGTGGGTCGGGTCGTCCACTTCCCTTTAATATTAGACACTTATGAACAGGTGCTCGCTGTGCACTGATAAGCTCCAAATGCTAACGTCCTCCATAAAACATACTGAACTTGCAGATGGATTTTGGATGGGATGGGGATCTTTATAAAATGACAAATAAGATAACACCTGCACAGTTTCTTTCGCTGTTTATCTTCCGATCATAGGAACCTCGTTTGGAAACGAAGTTTTAATTTTGTACGTTGAAGAAATAAATATAATACATTTCATTGCTACTAAATCGCCTTAGAATTAGGACGATTAAGGTCAATTCAGGTCAATTATAGCAAATTGAGAGAAGCTTATTTCCTGCATTTAACCGCCGAGGTAGTTATCTTATTGGAGCTATTAAGGGCTTAAGATAATTCTAAATTCTAGCCCTTTCAGCGGGGAAATGCAGCTAGCGTTCTTGGCACGATACCGCGGGGAATAGGACTGCATGATAATTAAGTTACTAGTTATAGTGTTTTTTTTTATTCTAAATTAAATTAAATGTTTTGACTTCAAACTTTCATTAACCTTTATAAACACTACAATTTATAGCACGACGTTTAAATCAGTTTGCTGATCCCTAGTTTCCTGCGAGTTGTTTTTCGTATTGGGTTTTACAATGACAAGTGGTAAACTTAAACCGAGATCTCAGTGTTTGTTTTGGTCTCGGCTGATCTCGGCCAAAAATCCCATCCCGATTTTGATCTCGAAAGATTCGAAGAAAAACGGAACTTTTTAAATTGTAACATTGTTTATTGCCAGACAGTTATGTATAAAATATGATTATTAAAATTGTTAGTAATGAAAAACATTCATAAACAGTGAAAAACATTATTAAACAGTATTTTGAGGAATGAATGCATTTTCTCTTATTTTCTTTCTTATTCTTGCCTCGGTCTCAGTCACAACTGAGAAATTATTTTGGCCTCTATATTAGTATCAGTCCCAATATTTCAAAAATATAGCTTTACCTTGTACTGTATCTTGACAAGAAGGCATCATGAATGAGTTTTATCAGCCCCGGATCTAGGGGTCGGAAAACCGAGGCACCCGGCCCGGGCGGCAGTTTCAGGGGACGCCATTATTATAATATAATATAGTTGAAAAAAAACTTGCATCACAAAGCGCCTAGCCAGTGCACGTTCTATCAGGTACGTCTATCTGGGCTGTGATTCCACCCATTGAAAATAAGACTTTGTTCTTTAAAGAAATACTTCAAAAAATTAAAAAAAAATCTCGACGTGAATTCGTAATTTCGTAAGTTGGCTCACAACACTTGGCAAAAATACTGTCACCACTGAGAGGACATACCAAAGCACACACAAAGGATTCATACTATTTTGTTATTTATTTTTTTACTTTTTATAAGCCAGTGCTTGACTACAATCCCATCTGGTGGTAAGTGGTGATGCAGCCCTAGATGGCAAATCGCACACTCTTAGCGTACTCGTAACAAAAGCCTATTCACTCTTGCCTTAAAGACGCCCAGATTGTATTCAGCGGAAAGATAGACGCCGGCAAATTATTCCACTCCTTTGCTGTACGCATTACAAAAGACGAAGCAAACCTTTTGGTTCTAATGCGTGGAATATCGATAACAAAGGGGTGAAGACTCGCCGACTGCCCACCACCACATGGTAATGAGATCTATGTACATATCGCTAACGATGAAAATATGGTCAGTTTTGATGTTCAGTCACTATTCACATGCATACCTATTGAGGACTGCATGCTAGCTAGGAAGCTAGAAGATAACAACATGCCTACAGTATATGCAGTATTACTGAAACACTGCCTAACACCTGGCTATCTATTGTGGAAAGAAGAGTTCTACAAGCAAGTAGATTGTGTGGCGGTGGGCTCACCTGTTTCTCCCGTAGTCGCCGACATATTCACGGAGGACTTTAAAGAGAACGTCCTTCTTACTGCTCCTGTAAATCCAAAATTCAACAAGCGGTACGTAGACGATACTTTCACAATTTTACGATCTGACAAAGTAACTGCATTTTTAGACCACCTTAATTCCATAAACTCTCAAATACAATTCACAGTGGAGTTAGAGGCAAACAATTTTTCCACAGTGGTAGAGCCACGCGGCAGCTTTTGCTGTCGCACGGATGGGCCGGCTCGAACCGGGGTGGTACCACGACCTCACAGAATACCAGCGTGAAGTAGAGGTTTACCTCTGCGTTTCGCTTGGTGAGTGCAGGTGGCCGGAGGCCCTTTTTACTGGAAATGAGGCATTCCATCTTAGTCCTCACGGGTGGCAACGCATCTGCATTTTGATTCGCAAACGAGGATAGATGTAGATGTCTATGGGCCGCAGCAACCACTTACCAGCAGGTGGACTGTGTGCTCGTTTGTCACCCTTATCCTATAAAAAAAAAAAAAAAAAAAAAAAAAAAATTCTTTAGCTTTCCTAGATGACATCCAAAATCCTGATAACACTATTGGTGTGTATAGGAAAAAGACCCATACCAACCGATATTTAAATGGTGAATCGCACCATCATCCATCACAATTAGCTACCGTGGTAAAATCTTTGTTCCGCACGAGGGATCTGCGACAGAAAACATCTGGCCGCCGAGCTTCAGCACGTCGAGCAAGTATTGCAAGACAACAAGCTTCGGGTACCACGTCTACGTCACAGTGACCGAGTGAAGCGGGCCACAGTCGAGCGTGTGCCTGCTGTACTACCCTATGTCAGAGGAGTCACAGACAAGGTTGGCTACATCTTGAAGCGGGCTTCCATTAAAACATATTTCAAGCCACCGAAGAAGATTAGTCGATTTTTACCATCCGTCAAGTGTCACTGGTAATCCGCCACTGGTAAGTATGCGTTATAGGGGGCACGAGTGAAACTACTGCTTGCAAGTAACACACTGATTTATTTCTTAACTATGACAATTATACTTATACGTAGTCGTACACAAGTAACCACCATTTCCTCCCCCTAGTTAACAACTACATAACTTAATTAAAGGAAACGACGATAGTCCACCTTGGGTAATGGGCGTAAACAAACCCTAGAACCGGGGTTGTTACGTGCAATGGTGGCCATAGGCTGATTAGCCACAGTGTCCATTGAAACTGGCTCCGACGATATGTTAGAGTTAGACTCATTGTTTACGTTAGTTGAGTTTACGTCATTTTGCACCAATTCCTCTTCCCCGCAGGTAGTTTGCGGCTCGTCTGAAGCCGGCATAGTGATATTTTCTTTCCTGGTGTTATCAGTTAAATAAGATGCAGGAGTGTACAAGCTGGCTTGTAAATGTGGTCTCTCTTACATAGGAGAAACAAAAAGATCTATAAAACCCGCGTAAAAAAAACATATAGATGACTTCAAGCACCGACGTTCCGGGACGTCTGCAGTATGTAAAAATGTTCAAGATCATCCCTGCCATTACATTAGATTTGATAGACCACAAATTCTCGCAAAAGAACACCGATTCCTATCAAGGTTGATTCGTGAGGCTATTTAAATTAAAAAACATCCTAATTTCAGTACAGAAGATGGTTAGGTGCTGCCATCTGCTTGGGATCCTATAGTTAGTAAAATTAAATTCAACCCAAGCATACCACTGCAAGACTTCAAGATACTGTAAGCTCATTCTGCGTAGATCGAACCAAAAATTAATATTCAAAAACTGAAGGCAGCCGGGCTAACTATGATACCGGACGTCAAACAGCTCCGTTCCCCCGAAACCATAGGTGCTGCAAAGCACCCGAAACGTCGGGAATTAAAAACTTTAATTAAAGGCGATAGCATCCATAAAAATTAGTTTCATTTAAATAGTAATATAGTCAAAACAGGCTTATACTAAGTAAAACAAAAAAAAAACAAGGTAAAATATTTTTTGGAGTTTGTAATTGCAATTTAAATGTAAAATCAAAATTAGCAAGCTCAGACAGACTAAGTATCACGACCAGCACCAGTTCATCAGTATGCCGCATCAGGCAGGCATCATCTCTCTCGACCATATACAATATTAAGTGAACAGACATCACGTGGCATCGCCAGGAAATATGTACACGTAAAAAATACATAATATGCTTTCATGATTTTATCAATTAAAATAATATTAATAATAAATAAATAGTAATAATTGTAAGTCCAAGTAAAATACTTTTTTTGCATTATAACAATCTTCTGATAGAGTTTTTATAAGTTAGGTATAATAGTTAATTAACTCAGACGAACTAATTAACTATTTAATTGCTTTGAGTAGTGCATCTTACAGGTCGTAAATAGTCCACTCGAACATAAAACGACCTTTATATCACGAGAAATTACACGCGACACGGTTGTTAAAACGTTTCAACGATTTTACGTGTTAACTCTCGTGTAGTAATTAAATTGAAAATTTTTAAAATCTAAAATTTTTCTTATAATATATATAGGTATATATATATATATATATATATATATATATATGTTATTATGTAGTGTGTGAGTATGTCTATATATAAGTATAATATGTTATTTGTCACCGCCTTCGTAGTTTTATCACTGCCCTAAGGTTAACTGGCAGATAATGTTTTTAGCAGTAAGTTCGCTTTTTGATCCTGTACTGTTTGTAATGTTTAATGAAGATTAAATAAAATAAATAAACAAAAAGCGCTGAATATCTGCAAACGGCTGAAAAAGTTTTCTTGGATCATAGCTAACAACACGCCCGATCAAGTCACATTTCAAACAATAAAACTAAATGTAATTCGGTTCATCCGTTTGGGAACTACGATACCACAGCCACAGACAGATATACAGATATAAAAGTCAAACATATAACACCCCTCTGTTTGCGTCGGGAGTTTGAAAATAAAGACGACTAAACTTTTAAATAAATTTCACTAAAAGTATACTTACTTTATGGCGACATATCTCCAAACAGCCAGTGAGAGTGTTAGAAAAATGGAAGCTGTATGAAAAATTTGCGCAAAGTGCATGTGAAACAGCAAGTATGCAGCCCAGTTGTACGGCATCTCACGTTGCCCAGGCAAGATCTAAAGTAAAGAAAAAATATTTCAAATCATTTACTAGGCTAGTTATCTTCTATCTATACATATGTTAAAAATGTAAATTGCAGGTGTTTAGGCATTGTATATTTTTGTGACAAAAATGATTGAAAGGGACTAAAAATAAGTTATTAAATACTCGTACATTTTCTGTGTGGTGGCGATGTAAGAATATCCATTACCCCATATCATCCCGTGGGTGTAGTAATAGGCGACAGAGGGAAACTGAAACAGGAAATGAGCAGCAGTGTCTTCCTGATAGCAATTCAAAATGATGCGAAATTGCTGTTGCCAACCCACCTGCCAAGCGTGGCAGCTATGACAAAGTCCCCCTATGAGACACTGTATGGGGGGCCTATGTTCGGTTGTAAACTTTTGATAAGCTATAATGGATGGATGAAATACATTTCTAACATTTTTAGAATTGTCCGTCTGTCTGTTTATTCAACTTCAAAAAGAAGACGGTACTCACTTCGACTGTATGTTTTTTCTGTTTTTTATGTGTGTTACCTCATAACTTTTTACTGGGTGAACCGATTTCGATGATTTTTTTATTTGAAAGCTGGTACTTCTCATATTGGGACCACATTGATCAAGGTCTGACCAATAATTTTTGAGTTATTCTTAATAATTTATATTGAAGTCGGTTGGACAAAATTTTTAATTTTAAATTATGAACGTATCACGTCTAAAGTACTGATTATTTCCAAATGAATCGTTTAATTGGTTCATTCTATCGAAATGTGTTTTCTCACAAAAATTAACGTTATACCATCTAAGTTAACAAAGTACAATAGTTAACCAGGGTCATCGATAGATGGTGTTGTGCAATATAATGCGAAAAGGCAGGTTTTCCTTTCCTGTAAATGTGTCTTTATAATTGAAGCTGATCTTCATATTCTCATAATCGAATTAAGTCATAATATACTAAAGTAAACCTTATTATGTTTTTCTCAAATATATTAACTCTAAAAACATTGTGCCTCAGATAATTTCCAGAACCTTCTCCTGTAGAAACATCTAGAATGTTCGAGTACATACCGGTCCCAACTGACTAGGTGTCGATAGTTCTAGAAAGTTCTTCCATGGATATTTCTAGAAGGTTCTTGACTCTCCTAGTTCTGCTACTTTTTACTTTTTTTGTAGGATCGGGTGACAAACGAGCACACAGTCCACCTGATGGTAAGTGGTTACCGTGACCCATAGACATCTACATCTATCCTCAATAAAGACTCAAGAGGCAGATGCGTTGTCACCCGTAAGGACTAAGATGGAATGCCTTGTTTCCAGTAAAAAGGGTCTCCGGTTCTCTACACTCACCACACGAAACACAGCAGCATTAAGCTGCTATTTTACGCTGGTTTTCTGTGAGAGCGTGGTCCTTCCCCGGTCGAGCCGACCCATTCGTGCTACAACCATAATATAGCTGCAGCATGGCTCTACCACGTAGAAAACCTGTCATTATTTTCCTGGTTTATAGGGTTCTTATTTATAAGGTATCAATCGCGTCGAAATTTTTGTCTTTTGTTTTTAAGAATTGGTGTTAACAGCGCCATCTTTCTTTAAATACAAAATAATTATTGTTTTTTCGTTTAATTACTAATAACCTATTTTTACTACTGCTGTTTTTTTTACTAATCACCCTGTTCCCGAATATATAGTTATGTAATAAAAAACTGACTAAACTGAACTGAACCCTATTTTGAAAGATACTTTTATATCGCATATGTATAAATTATTCACTTCTCGCATATGTCAGCGTTATTTATATATGTAAAATTGTTATAGTGGTGTACTTTATTAATGTCAGTTATTTTTATTTGTTGTTTTTCAATATAGTGGAATTAAACGAACCCAAAAAAAAATTAATATCTCCCAAACTTAGAATATTTTGTACTGATTTCCTTAGAGACTCCTGAACGTCGGCACATCTTAGAAATTAAGAAATTTCTGTTTACTTTCTTGCATCTGGTTCGTAGCAAAAAGTGTGTTTATTATTGTACACTTTTCTTTATTCAAATTAGTAATTTTCTCCATGGACTTCAGACCTAGGATGAACTAGTCAAAATCCGAAACAGATTATGTTATTTACGACGTTTGACTAAAAAGTTAGGTACTGCTAGGTTGGCCTAAAAATACATTGCTCAAACCTATTCGATTTATTTGAAATTTAGTAGGTATTTTAGTTACTTATTTCGTAATGTACTCACTAAGAACGAATTTTACGCTATTCCCATCAAAAATTTTTTTTACTGATATTTTACAACTAGGTTCCGCAATAAAATATTAAATATCGTGCGCCCAGCGAAGCGAGCGGATTATCAGCTAGTAACATATATATATATAAAACGCCTGAAACACTTGTATGAATATAAGTAAGCTTAATGCTGCTGTGTTTTGTATAGTGTGTATAGAGAACCGAAGATCCTTTTTAATGGAGGCATTCCATCTTAGTACTCATTGGTGACAACGCATCTGCATTTTGATTCTTAATCGAGGATAGATTTAGATGTCTATGGACCACAGCAACCACTTACCATCAGGTGGACTGTGTGCTCGTTTGTCACCCTTATTCTATAAAAATTGCGATAAGCGCAATTATTCCTCTGGTGAAACTGAACATAACGTTTTCCTTTACCTTAATTATAAGATGTTGTAATAAATAATAAATGAAACTGAAGTCAGGTGTTCTCTCAAAAGGCTTATTCAAACGATCGCCTCGTTAATTATGTACTATATTTGCACTTGGCATGGATTATTAGAAAGTTTAGTCCACCCAAGGCTATGTGATCGATATAATATTAGAAACGTAAATTTTCAAGTTATTCAATTAAGATTACAAATTAGGTCGTATATTTACGTTAATTAAACAATTACTACCTATAAAAAAGGGTTAAATATTTTCACTTTACCGTCGAAAATAGGATTACGTTTAATTAAGAATTAGAATTACAGAATAACAATACACAGTAAATAAAATAAAACTTAGATTTATTTAATAACTAGCTATGCCCGCGACTTTGTTCGAATAAAATCACTTTCTTCGATTGTTTTAAATCTGAGAAAATTGGTAATTTCACCGGTTTGAAGCACACACTCTTACAGCACACAGTACTTTTAATTTTAGTTTTACGAATTACAACCACTATTACAGGAATATATTTTTATATTTGTAAGGTATAATTTAATCATTATAAATTAATTAATATATTATGTTATTAAACAAATACTATCAAAATGATACGGAGGATTTCCCGTATCCCGGATCTTCCCGTGGGTATCGTAAAAGGCGACGAAGAGAGAGTAGGAGATTGACAGCAGCATCTTTCTTATAACAAACGACTTGACCTGGCAACATTTAAAATTTAAAATCCTGGAGTTGGAAGAATAGACAAGTTGCGCTGGAATATTATAAAATTATCTGAGGGTTGAGGAGAGGGGAGGAAACGGTAATCTTCGAATCCGGCAACTTGTTCTATCACCGGGAGGGCAACCACCTGTCTCAAGGAGGTGTCGGATTTATCGTCCACAAGTCGTTAACAACATTGTAAAGATTGGGAGTGTGTCCTTATACTCAGTATCAATAAAAGGTATTCGTTGAAGGTCCGTGCCAACATAAAAGTAAAAGTCTAACCATGCTTAAAAGTAAAAGAAGATTAGTAATTAGCCCAGGCACCTCAGGGGGTAAGTGCCCGAATAGCACGCTGGCAGCCCAAGTTCGATCCCTACCGGAACCAAAGTGATTGACCTACGTTTATAAATGTGCATGTTAGACATAACTTGCAACCCGCACTTGACCGTTATTGAAAAAAAACTATCCTAAATGTTATTCCAGTTATAATCATGCAATGTTTTGTTAAAAACCTTCTAGTAGTTCATATTCATAAAATTCTTCTAGTAGCTTTGAACACAATAGGCTCTAAAGCCCATTGTGTTCAGACAGATAGACAAAAAATAAAATAAAAGTATGTACAGATTTAACCTCGAAACAGTTTTATTATATATAGAATAGATAAAGATTTATAGATATACGATAGATAGATAGAAGATAGATAAAACAAAAATAAAACTTATTAGCTATTACAAAGTAAATATCTTACATGTATATAATCGAAAACGCTCTGAATAGATAGTGTGACGGAAAACGACTGGCCGAGATTAATCTAAGTTAACTATATTCAGAAAATATCAAGAGACCCACCTTAATGTAAAAAAAGAAGAAACATAATTAAAAGGAAAATTTTGTTCAATACTTCTATCGATTTTGGAAATAGGATGGTTATGATGACGCCATATTTTTTCCATTTAGCACCTATACAAAAGAAAGCACTAACACCTACTAATTAGAAATTGTATTTCTAACGAAATGTTCTGAGTAATATAACCTCCTTCGCTGATTTTTGTCTTAAGAAAGTACTAGAAAAAAAATGTCCATTTTATATTTCCTAAATATCAACATTGCTGACAAATTCTAAAGATAGCATTTAAGATTGCGCGTTTCACAACAGACATAAAAGACACGAATGCAAAACTTAACTTTTAACTGTGTATTAAAATTAAACTTGTCTAGCGAATGTCAAAAGAAAACGAACTACGAGTGGAACTTTTACTTATTGTATAGTTTAAGGTGAAAGCGTCAGGGTGGCCCGCGAAATTCAAATTTTCTTAGGTTTTTTAGAATTTTCAGGTCAGGGTTAGGTTGTATGTTTAACAAAATATGATTCGCGACCGTAATGAGTATGTGTATACAGAATTATTATCATTAAAATTACCAATACAACCCCCTAAGTTCATATAATCCCTTTGAATGCGTTTTTCTGGAAATAGCCATACAAAGCACTTAGAGGGTTGTATTGATGATTATAGTGATTATAATTCGCGAATAATACTTTGTTAAACATAAAACCTGACATTGACCTGCAAATTGCAAAAAACGTAAGAATATTTGAATTTCGCGGGCTACCCTGGCGCTTTCACCTTAAATTTTAGTTGTAAAATCAGCGAAACATTTCTCTTTATTAGAAAAGAACCAACCCCTATTTTATTCGGCGGCGACGTCCAGTCACGGATATAACTCCTTTAAAAACTTCACCGTGCGTTGATGCCACGAACTAATAGTTTCCACAAAAAATGGCACAAATATAAAGCCATCTCCCAGAGACTTACATTTACACCATTTACTCATTTCTGCCACCACTTTTGCCGCCTTTCCTCGAAACGAGGTGAGATGAGAGGCTGCCGAAGTGTCTACATTCCACACAAGGGAAGGGTCTCTTTACCAAGGAACCAAAATAATAACGTAACGTCTCCAGCACCTTTTCTAAATATTCCACAACGCTGTAAAACCGAGCGAACATTTAGTATGTAATTCAGAGATCCGTGATGGCGCAACTTACCAGCACTTTTCTTTCAAGTAAGTTTCTTTCTGGTAAGTACCAGCACTTTTCTTTCATGAAAGTTCGTAGAGTCCAAACTCGTCGACGCTGATATCAAAGGGACACCGATAATTTTGACAGACTTACACTCTTTAATCAGATTGCCATAGTTATACGCGGATTTTCCCCATCAATGAACATGATTTAATGGTAAAGCGTATAATAATTTATGCTCATTTAATAACATTTATTGTATTCAAACTGTATAACACGATAAAGTCAAATTTTAAGACAATATTTTGCAACTTACAAGATATCTGTACACGGCAAATGGCACGTACTCCATCATCACAAAGACGTCAGCGACCGCGAGCCACTTCAGCAAGCGGTTGATTGGAGCCGCGGCCAGGTCACGTCTCGTCAACACAGCAACGTTTAGAGCATTCGCTAAACTCCCGAAGAAGCATACCTAAAAAATAACACGCATTTTAAAAACGTAAAAACCAAGAAGTGGCTTAGTAACTGAGTAATGCGATCTAGATTTGAAGTACCTACACTCACATCACTATGATATTAGTTGATCGAAATCAAATTAATAATAAATTAATCAATAAATAATCAAAGAAATCACCATCTTCAACATGTTTAATACGTGGTAACCATGCTGCAGCTATATTAGTAGTATAGTTGTAGCACGAATCGGTAAGCTCGACTGGGGAGGACCACGCTCTCACAGAATACCAGCGTCAAATAGCAACTTAACACTGCTGTGTATCGTATGGTGAGTTTAGAGAACCGGAGACCCTTTTTACTGGAAAAGAGGCATTCCATCTTAGTCCTCACGGGTGACAACGCATCTGCATTTTGATTCGCAAACGAGGATAAATGTATGCTCATTTTTCACCCTATACTAAAAAAAAATAAGAACACTAGAAGTAAAAACGAAATATAAAACAACGCAATATAAATAAAAAAATATTTTATCTCTACTTAATTCACTAATTTAACACCTGTCGATAAATAAAGGTTTTATAACGACGTCCCTTCGTTCTACAGACTAACTTTGAAGAAAGACTTACAGAGCGCTGAAACTCTTTTTACTATCTTACCTAAACATTAAATTTTATTGTGGGATTAAAACATAAAGAATATCAAACATCATTTTATAAAAAGCGTTAGTTGTAAACAAATTAAAAATTAACATATGTAAGAAAAAAAAACGATAATACTTTTTTATGTACATATATTTGTTATTTGCTAAATATAAAAAGATTTGCGTCAAACGAAAGCTACTTAAAAATAGCATGATTGCCAAAAAAATAAAAATACTAAGGACACAGAATAAATGTATCGTGGCGGTGTAAGAAAATCCACTAGCCCATATCGTCCCCCGGATGTCGTAAGAGGCAACTGGAAAACTGAAACAAGAGATGGGCAACAACGTCTTTCACCACGTGCCAAGCGTGGCAGCTATGGCAAAATCACTCATATGAAACAATCTATGGGTAAGGCCTATATTTGCATAGCAGTGGACCTTTATAGGTAGTAATGAATGGATGGATGAAAATAGACAGAATGGATGATACAACAACTGTTTAATACAACGAACAACATGAAAAACGCTCTAAAACGAAGTGAAGCTCGTCTTGGATGTAATATGGGAATCCCAATATAACCATAATCGAAAATGCAATTATCTACTATAAGCATGTATATTGTTAAATAAATAAGGTGAAAAGTTTTCTATCCCCATTCGAGACGACATTTTCATGCTGTCGCCATAATACAAGGAAGTTTGGCTTGGCCACGCAAACATAATTGTTTATAACAATTAAATTTTGAACCATAGACCAAGTTAGACATAGATAATTTGATCAAACTACACGATATACTTGTGTAGTGGCGGTGGAAGAATATCCACAAACCCATATCATTATGCGGGTGTCGTAAGAGACGAGAGAAGCAAAGACACCATGAGATGTGCAGCAGCGGTTTGATAATGACAAGTAAAAAAAAACTGCGTTTGCCAACCTATATTATGAGGCATTCTATGGGGTAGGCCTATGTTCAGCAGTGGACTTTGAAAGGCTGTAACGGTAGCACCATATTATCTTACAAACAATACATTATTCATTCTTACTCCTCTCTATGCCACTAGCTCATTTCAATAGGATAATAACATACGTTAACTTAACCGAAATTAGTTTTAAACAAATACAAAATATTATTTCCTCTTTATTCACAAACCAAACATAAACAGGTAACTGACGCAATAAAAGTCATCAAAAAGCCATTACAGTCAAACAGTAAATATTTTGGCGTCATGCGATACTAAAATTGGCAAAGCTTTAACATAATTAACCGAGCTTTTTAGGGCGAACATAACATTAATAATATTAATATAAGTATAATACAGGTGTATTTTACACTTGTTGTCAAATAGATTTAATAATTTGTATTGATTAAAACTATTTATTAATATAAGTTTATTTAATGTTTAAAAAATTTAAATTTTTTCAACTGCTTTTTTTTCTTCTTTTTAAAAACTGTCAAAAGCTGCGGTATCTAATTTATTTTATTTTATTATTTAAAGTGCAATTTTAGCTAAAATTTATAATAAAAGATCGATAAATATATAAGACAGTTATACTAATAAATATTTTTTGATTTCAGACATAATACTCAATTCTAAAGAAAAATCTTTCTGCTGAGCCGTTGTTAGCTGTCAAAGAATAACGACAACTACATTTTTTACTCGTAAGAATATGGAATAAATCTTAGGGAGTATTGCGATAATATTTCATATATAGAACAGAACGCTTTTATTAAGACCGAAAACGATTGTGTTTCAGGAAAAATGGGGTACAGCACATTCCACGTCAGTATAAAGTTATATAATATAAAGACTTTTGAGTGCTGTAGAGATCTGTTTCGATTTTGGAACGAAGTTCTTTATCGGACGGTACGGATTTGGCTGATGGAGGTTAAGCGACAAAGAGTATAAGATTCTTCCGTCACGACCCTTTCTGACGTAGTGTAGACGGCCTTTGCGGCTATAAGGAAGCGAGATGGAATAGTATCCATCTCACTCGCACTTTTTCTTATCTTGCCATGAAAGAAATATTATTTTATTTTAAATGACCCTTCATTTTAATAAACGCTAGTAATTCATTTATTTGTATTTGTTAATCAATAATATAATAGGTTTATCAATAATAATACACCACGAATGAAACTTCGTTCCAACCGACTGTTCCACGACACTCACGCATGTATTTTTTAATGAATATCGTCACTCCGGTATATCCGGGATTTCCTACAATGTAAAAATTGTACCGACGTTAGGCTGTTAAAAGGTAAAAGGGGTTTAAATTTACATATTAAGCGATACACAGCAAAAGTATTCCGGTTTCACAATTTACCGTAGAAGTTTTAACTCTATTAACACGTATCATGCACACACTTCAATATAGTAGCTCTATTTATTTATTTAACAATTTATGTACACACAAACAAAGGAAAGAACATAACATGATGAACAGTTTGTACAAGGGCGCTGCTTATCTCATTATGAAATTTCTTCCTGTAGGCCAGTTAAAAAGATATGTGATAAATAAAAGATAGTAAGGTGTGCACTTTGTTATTATATACACATACATACATATATACATACAAGATAAAATAAATATATGTATAGTCATAATTAAATATATATAAATAATAAAAAGTATAGTAAATATCAAAAATATGGAAACTTACACAGAAGACAGAGATAAATAAGGTTCTTTTACACGTTTTTTGAATAATGTCACTGTTTTGATTTCTCGAATCGTAGGAGGAAGTGAATTCTAGAGTCTTACTGCATGTACAGAGAATGAACGAGAATATGAATGAGCTTTAAAGGATGGGAATTTTAAGAGGGTTTTTAGGTGAGATCTACAAATTGCATCTGGAGATTTAAAAAAGGTGAATCGATTACAAGGGTATGAAGGGAAATTCGGACTGTGTAAGATATTAAAAAGAAGACAAAGGATACGAGTGTTCTTGCGACATCGGATCGGGAGCCACTTGAGCTGCTTTCTGTATTTAGAGACGTGGTCAAACTTCTTGAGTCCAAAAATATACCGAATGCATAGGTTTTGCAATCGCTCAAGTTTGTTTAATAGCTCCTCTGTAGCATCCAAAAAACAGACATCAGCGTAATCTAAGATTGGCAAAATGAGAGTTTGGACAAGAGAGATTTTAGTTGATAAGGGTAAAAAACTTTGAAATCGTTTTAACGAGTGAAAAGTATAATGTACTTTTCTGCTTAAGTCCGTTATATGAGCACCCCATGATAACCTACTGTCAATAATTAGGCCCAAGTTCTTCGCGGATTCCGAATAAGCAATTGATGTGCCATTGATAATCACATTTGGCAGGGTGCAGTTATCAATAATACTACTATTATATCTGCTGCTTACTATTAACGCTTGAGACTTACTTGGATTTATAGATAAACCATGGGATCTGGACCAACGATTAATTCTATCCAAATCGTCATTCAGTGCATCTATCGCCATTTTAGCCTCAGATGCCCCAAAGTGACGGTAAAGCTGCAAATCGTCTGCATAAAGATGGAAGTTGGAGGATATTATTTTCGTTATAGAATTAATAAAAACGGTGAAGAGTAAAGGAGACAAGACGCCACCTTGGGGTACACCTGCAATAAGATTACACCAGTTGGAATAAGTGTCATTGGAGCGGATACATTGCGAGCGTCCCCGAAGATATGAATCAAACCAAAGAATGGCCGAAGATGAAACATTGATAGCCTGAAGAATTTTAAGGAGGATATCAAAGTCAACAGAATTGAAGGCACTACTAAAATCTAATAAAACGAGTACTGTTAATTGTTTTTGATCTATGGCTCGACGGATATCATCAGTTACCTGAAGAAGAGCAGTTGTTGTACTGTGACTGGGCCGGAATCCAGATTGAAATGTACTTAAAATATTGTTGGAGTTAAGATAAGAAGAAAATGTGTCGTGAAAACCTACCAGCGCTTTTCTTACATGAAAGTCCGTGGAGCCCAAACTTGTCGACGCTGCTACCACAGTGGCACTCATGGGGTTGACAAAGCGCCGCTCCTAGTCGGATTCCTACGGCAATACATAAGCTTTCCCTATCAAGTAATGTGCCGAGATTACTTGATGGTAAAGCGTGTAACCAGTGACTAAATTCCTTAGTCCAAACAGCTAGAAGACGTGCCTTATCTTGGTCACTATGCAAATTATGAAACAAATCTTTCTGCACGCCCCGTACCAACGGAATATCCCACTGTTTTTGTTGGTTAACTTCCAGTGGAACATTTTCACCGGGACAGAGCGTTTGCCATGTCTGCCCTGCCTCCGGAGTAAAGCATAGATCTACTTTATTATTTAAAATTATGTTACATAAGTCACTGACACTATGCACGGAAGCAAGGAA